ACAACTTAATAGCAAGAACAACAAAAAATAACCCAATCCAAAAATGGGCAGAAGACCTAAGTAAGCAGTGCTCTAATGAAGACATACGAATGGCCAAAAGGCACAGGAAAAAATGCTGTGTATCACTAATTATCAGAGAAATGCAAATCAAAACTACTCTGAGGTATCACTTCACACCAATCAGAATGGCCATCATTAAAAAGTCCACAAACAATAAATGCTGGAGGGGGTGTGGAGAACAGGGAGCCCTCCTGTACTGTGGGTAGGAATGTAATTTGGTGCCACCGTTACTGAAAACAGTATGGAGATTCCTCATAAAACTAAAAATAGACTTAACATATGATCCAGCAATCCCGCTCCTGGGCATATATTTGGAGGGGACTGTAATCAAGAAAGATAACATGTATCCTAATGTTCATAGCAGCACTATTTACAATAGCCAAGAAATGGAAGCAACATAAATGTCCATCGAACGTAAATGTCCATCGACAGATGACTGGATAAAGTTGTCACTCACACACACACACGAATACTACTCAGCCATAAAAAAGAATAAAATAATACCATTTGCAACATGGATGGACCTGGGAATCCATTCTAAGTGAAATAAGCCAGAAGCAGAAAAATACCATATAATATCACTTATATGTGGAATCATCAGAGAGAAAAAAAAGGCCACACAAATGAACTTATTTACAAAACAGAAACAGACTCAACAGACATGGAAAACAACCTTATGGTTACCAGGGGGAAAAGGGATAGGAAGGAATAAATTGGGAGTTTGAGATTTGCAAATACTTTTTAAACATAAAATAGATAATAAGTTTATACTGTATAGCACAGGGAACTATATTCAGTATCTTCTAGTAAACTCTAATGAAAAAGAATCTGGAAAGGAATATTTGTATCTGTGTGATAGAAACATGCTGTACACCAGAAATTGACACAACATTATGAAATGGTCATAGTTCAGTTTTAAAAAATGAGGACAAATATGTTAATTGTACATTTTTTTGCATTTATACAGTTGAGGAAGTTATTCTCTATTTCTAGTTTGCTGAGAGTTTTTAATCATAAAGGGTGTTGTATTTTATACTTTTTGGATTCAGTTTGCTGATATTTTGTTCAGTATTTTTCCATCTATGTTTGTGAGAGAGGATGGCCTATAGATTTCTTCTTATTTCTTTGTTTGATTTTGGTATTAGGGTAGTGCTATCTTCATGGATCGATTTAGGAAGTATTTTCTCTGCTGCTTTCCTCTGAAAGAGATTGTGGAGAGTCGGTTGAACTTCTTCCTTAAATGCTTGATAGAATTCATCAGTGAACTCATGTGGGCCTAGTGTTTTCTGTTTTGAAAACTTACTGATTATTGATTCAAATTATGAAGTGTAAGAGTTTTATATAAGTTCCTAATTTGATATATGATTTGCAAATATTTTCTCATTAAGGATCTTTTTTGCTGTACTGTTTTTAAGGTAGTTGCTTTGGGAATGGTTTAAAACTTTTTTTTTAGAAGCAATTATTTTCCAAATGCAGATATTGACTTATACAATACTAATAGTAAATGAATAATGATTTCATTGACTATGCTTCCAGTAAACTTCTTGTTGGAAGGGTAACCTAAATAAATACTATGAAGATAAAAATAAGTAAGTAAAATGAAAATTGGATGCCCACTAGTTAGAGAATGTTTGTAGAATTCTCCTCCCTCCATTGTACATACATCTATAGCCATTAAGTTTTCAAACTGTTTTCATTGATTTCTCAGGTATACAATGTAGTGTTCAACTCCTTTGTTGGGCTAGAAAGCCCCTATACCATACAATTCGCCTTTCTAATCATAACCTTTTGAGTTGTAAGTAATTTATAAAAAATGTTTACTTCAGGAGCCAAATTTATTACTTATTCTGGGTAGAGACTGAAATTTAGTGAAAATGAGAACTCTGTGAAACTCAAATGATATTTAGTAACTCTTTATCCACCTATTTTCATACGAATGTTCATAGTCTACAGGTAACAAATGCAAAAAGATTAATTGGACTTAACCAAATTAAAAATTTTTAGTGTGTCAGAAGATACCATGGAGAGAGTTAAAAGACAACTTAGAGAATGGGAGAAAATATTTGTAAACCATATGCTATCTGACAAGGGAATTGTAACTAGACTATGTAATGAACTCTTACATTCTAACAATAAAAAGACAATTCAATTTAAAATGAGCAAAGGACCTGAATAGACATTTGCCCAAAGATATACAAATGGCCAGTTAACACATGAATAGATGCTCAGCATCATCAGCCATTAGGAAATGCAAATCAGCACTGTAATGAGACACTACTTTGTACCCACTAGAATGGCTAAAATGATAAAGAGACAATAGCGAGCGTTGACAAGGTTATGGAGAAATTTGAACCTTCATAAATCACTCATCGAATTTTAAACTGGTACAGCCGCTCTGGAAAACAGTACATTAATTTTTCTAAAAGAACTTCAAATTATTATGAGCCATCAGTTACACCCAAGAAAATTAGAAATACGTATCTACACAAAACTTGAACACAAATGTTCATAGTAGCATTATTCACAATAGCTAAAAAGTGGAAACAACCCCACAACTACTTTTTAAAGCATCCAGTATCTATCTGCAAGGCAGTATACTTTGGAGACAGGCTCTTATTTCATTTGACCACTAATAGTTCTAGACAGCATAAGAGATTAATACAGAAATGAATCCCAAACTTCTTTAATTGTTAAAGGAATTCAGAAGGAAAAAAAGCTCATTGCTTCAGACTGAGAATATTTGAACAGTGGACAAAATTGGATTGGTAAAAACCAGAGAAAAGTTTGATTTTGAATTTAAGCCAGCAGAAAAACTGATCAGGACTTTATCTCTCTTTTCCTATACTTACATTAACAAGTATTTCTGTCTCTGGGATGACACATAGGCTATCTTTAGGGTTGTGAGTCATGAAAATTATTTGCCAAATAGTGTGTCATTATCTCACCAATAGCCAATGCCAGAAAACTGGAGTGACTGACTTTTGTTCAGTTTCTCACATTGTCTCTAAATTTGATAACTTTTTATCTTTTATAATGACTCCCTGTTTCCATTATTTTTAGTTGCAAGAACTTACTTCTTACTAGTCCAATGACTGCCTGATTTTCCTACTTTTTGTCCATTCCACCCTTTTAATCTTCCACAGTGCTCTGAAGCTCTTTCCGAGTAATTGATCTGATGGTATTTTCTCCTTCAGTAGCTCCTAAAGTCATTATTTTTGGACGTGTTATTCAGTAACAGTTTGTCTAGTTTATGCAAAATGAGAAAAATAAGAACAAGTTAGGAATTCCATACAAGTAAAATTCATTCATTTTAAAAGTCTATTTTGTGTTAGTCTATTATGTCCTTCCTGTTTTAGGAGCATATAAAATGCCCCTTTTAAAAGATTGGGAGCAGAGTTGGATGATAATTGCTATTTGAAATTTCCTTACTTGTAAAAAGTGGCAGTTCTTTATAAAATTTAAATTAAAACATTTTTTTATTTTGATCTTTGAAATTCAAAGGTCTTAGAACCACTGGTCTGCAGGATTAGGTCCCTTAAACCCTGACAGTGGCACATAAAGTGGTTTTTATTTTGAAATACTTAATGAATTTTATCTCTTGTGCTACTCCAGTTCATTGATTGCAGCTCAGTGTAAAACTTGGTTCAGAAGTCTTGTGAGACCAAGTTTGTGCTCAGCTGAAGTTTGCCACTTTCATTTAGCAAAATATTCTGTGGGGCAAGGCGTGAATGAAATCCTGATCTGCCCATTCCTACTTTTTCAGTTTTGTGTCTTCTGCTTTTCCATGTAAAGTTTATTCTATAGAGTTCCATGGACTAACACAGTTCTCTGAATGCATGCAATATGCTTCTCATAATTAAAAGATAATAGATCAACGAAGTAGTAATCCCTTAAAAGAATTCCCATGGCAAAGTGGTTAATACATCTTTTTATCTTTTCTGTAAAACTTTCAACATATATTTATTTATATTATAACTTTGTTATTTGTACTCAAACTCTTTGACGGAGCACATTATTTGGGCTCTTATGTTTGTCACGTATACATTAACATAAACTGAATTTATGGCCCATGATAACATTCCAGTTTTAGCTTTCTTTTGTCAAGAAATATAACACTTATGAGAACATTGTTTTTTCATTTTAACATCCTTTAATGAAATGAACTACTTACCACATACTTGCATGTTAACATGGTTTTTAAATATCTTCTTTTCTTTATTCCCCAGAAATTACTTTTATGTTAGTGATAAGTATCTTCAAGCAATTCAGAGATTATATGCCAAATGCATCCTTCTTGGTCTGTTTGTGTGTGTTTGTGCATTGTGAGTGTCTTTTGTGTTATTTCATTTGTTGACCATATATTTGTATATTAAAAAAAAAAAACCCTTGAGCTGAGAGTTTTAAAATATGTAATTTTAGCTGTTTCTTGTTGCTTCACTGATGGAAGAAATTCCATATGTTAGGTTTTTTTTTTTTAACCACTTATATTGTTGGATGACTATTCCTGAGAATAGGCATAAGATCTAGGATAAATTTTTTTTTATTACTCCAAAAATCTTATGTTTATAGTAGAGTATGCCTATCTTGGTATACCTCTAAGAAGAGGAAGCATTGTCCTCAGAACATTAATACCAAACCAAGAAAACAAAATGATTATATCGTTTTTACTCCTCAGTGTTTCTTAACTACTGTTTGTATACAGTTACATAGAAGATATAATCTAAATCAGATTGGTTACCTAGCAAAGTACAGCTACAGTATAAAGTAAAGGGACAAGTGGTTTGAAGGAAACAGACTACAAAAAACCTACATGGTAGAAAAATTTGTGCTTGTGAGGAATGAAGGATACTTGGGAATTTCTTAGAGAATTGTAGATTAAATTTAATATTTAAAAATTGCTGGCATTTTTGTTACTTTAAAGAAAATTTTTAACTTAACAGTCTACATCAGCATCAGCGTCTGCATCGCCATTTCAATCTGCATGGTACAGTGAGTCTGAGCTAACTCAGGGAGCACGCTCAAGATTGCAAAACCAGCAACGGGATCACGACTCAAAAAGACCTAAACTTTCCTATACAAACTGTACATCTACCTCAGCTGGGAGAAGTGTTGGACATGGTTTAAATGCAGTATCGGGTAAGAATTAAACTTGTGTAAGAATTACTGTATATGTATTTTGGACAGAAGCCCTTTTTCCAAGATAGAGTGTATTAAGCAAGTGGACTGCACATAAGATAGTGGGTCATAAGTACAGTGCAGTTTCCAAAATACACTGGAGTTAACTTAGTGTTAGAACTGAAATTAAATCTTTATTTTGGTTTTTTGTTTTGATTTTGTACAAATGTCTTACATAAACAGGATATTAGATTTTAATTAATTAGAATAGCTGGTATGTATGGTAATAAAATTAGTAAAAGTGACATATATTCTGCTGGTTATTATAGTAGGTAAATTTTAAAATTGTTACTAGGAAAGCCAGATTTACTGATACATGTTTAAAATGTTTCCTAAGTGTACTTTTTGTAAATAATAAACATTGTGCTATATGACACTTATTTTCAGAAAATGTAGAAATTCTTTAGTTAAACAAAAAATAGTTGGTGATATTCTAGTGGGAGTTCTGTACTAGGAAGCAGAAAGCTGTGATTCTAGCCCTCTTGACTAACTGTGGCACTGGACAAGTTATTTAACCACACTAGTATTTAGATGACTTACGCATAAAGCTTCATGTTTAGTATCTTGTACTCAACAGATCCACATTTGTTCCACAAATTGAAAAGCCGTTTTGTTGAGAGGTACCTCCTCAGTTATACTTCTTCAAATGAAACACTAGCCAATGCCTGAAATAGTTCTAAGATAAGATAGAATTTGTAATGACACAGTTGGAGATATAATTCTTGAATTACGTATGTACTACGAATTGAATTAGTGTAAACAGTTCCTTTCTGTTTGATAGGCAGGACAACCATGGGAAAGACATGGCCCTTCTGAAGGATATTGCGAATAGTATGATGAGTAAGAGCAGACTGACCTTAACTTTGTAGACAAATTCCATTGCGTAGAGATCTTTCTGTTCTCTGCTCTGTGAAGGCATAGCATTAACCCTAGACCATTTCCTTTAATGAAGAGAAATTATTATGGCTTTTGGGACTAGGAGAGAAAGAACAAAAATTTTAAGGTAAATAGTGAGGGGGAAAGTTTTGAGACTTTAAAAAAAATTTTAATTTACTTTTAAATGAAATCATATCTAACAAAATTCAGATTATAATCGCAACAAAACATTAATTCTTAACATAAGAATGAACCAAATATGGCAACAGTGATAATAGTTCTGGCAAAATAGTTTTAAACCTACAGTATAGCATCTTTCATTTCACAATGGCTTTGATTTTTATTTCAGCTGTTCTTCAACATCACTTTCATTGACTTATAAAATTCTACATCTTTGGCAAGCTTTATATTTTTGTTTTGTAAACATTTTACAGCATGTTTATATTGTGTGGTCAGATATTCTAGAGAGTGACTGAGACATTAGCATCCTGAATGGGGGTAGTTTTTAGTGTTAGAGAAGAATGTGTTTGAGTAGGAGATAATTTTATAAGTGATTAGTTCATTAGTGAATAATTTTGTGTTATGCCAAATTTTGCTTTTGATTCCAACTGTAACTGGGGATTCCTATAATAAACCATATAACTGGAGATTCCTGTAATAAACCATAATTATCTCTCTGTGTAATACTGAAAATTTGTTGTCATCAGAAACCTTGAATGCTTTCTCTGAATTAAAACCTCTTCAATTATTTTAAGATTCTTCTTGGAGGCGTAGTCAAGTTCCCAGATCTTCATCAGTGGTACTTGGATCATTTGGAACTGACTTAATGAGAGAGAGGAGAGATTCAGAGAGGAGAGCAGATTCCTCCATTAGTAATCTTATGGATTATAGTCACCGAAGTGGTGATTTCACAACCTCATCATGTATGTATAAACTATTTTGTTATATATAGCTTACTTAATAATGTTTTGTTTTTCTCTGTGTGTGTATCATTAAAATCACAGTACAAAGGAGTTAATGAAGTGAATATTATGAAGATTTAAAATATAGGGTAGCTTGGTATGTTTTCTAGTACCTTTTTTGTCCTTTGGCTTTAAAAAATGTAAACAATTTAAGGTGCATATACGTGAGTATCCAGATTCTGTCTGCCTATAATTCTTTCACTTTTAAGATTGTATTGTATCTTAAAATATACTTGATAAGTTCTTATATATTACAACATAATTTGCCTTATGAACTGACTAAAACTTGAAATCATTTTAAGACATAATTTAGAATTCCTTTAGTTTAACATGAATATGTCTTTTTCATTTAGTTGAAATAAAGACCCATATTGTTTCTGTCAATATACATAAGCTTAAGCTCTTCAAAATAAATACTATAAAACAAGAACACTAAATAACTGAAGACAAAAAGTACTGATTAAAGTTGACAAATATAGCAGATAAAAGTGGAATTTGATTTACAGAGAAGAAAATAACATTTGTTTTTAAAGGTTTAGGTTATTTTAAATAATCTTAATGGGGGAAGGCTTTGCTTTATTTAAGACAAATAAAAGCATCTTTTTATTTACTTGGCTTTGGATGCAGAAGTTTTGGTAGACGGTGTCAATAGCTTCTAAGTTGGGGGGTATAAATACAGAATAGAATGGATTTAATCCCTAACAATTTATCCTTTTGTGAGACTCCATGTATTAGCAAAGTAGCAATCTAGCACTTAAACTAGATGCATGGATGACTATTCTTTATGAAGGGATGCTTTGGTATTTCTCATTCCATTTAAAGATTAGAACTGCAAGTGGTGTACTATTAAAATTGCGAATGCCAGGGCTCTATTCTGACTCATAGTTCCCAGCCAGCGTTTTTTTTTTTTTTTTTAATGCGTAAGTATCTCTGACGAGTAAACAGGGATGAGAAAGAATGACTGCTGTTAACTTAAAAGAAGTAAAAAACTGGAGAAATTTTGAGCTGTTAGCACAGTTTTCCATAAAATTACAAAGGTGATAGTATTTACGTGAAATAACTTTTGTACCTACTACAGAGTAAGGAAAATCTCCAAAACATCATCTCCCTATGATTATTTTGCTTTTACTTGTTATGAGTTACTTACATTTGAATTTTTTGCCCCAGTTTAAATTCCTTATCCATTTAGATATTCTTCTACCATATCAATTTCTGATTAATAAATTCAGCTATTTTACCTCCATCAAGTTGGTAGATTGATGTTTGCCTCTCATAAGCTATGATACATTTCTTTTTTTTACTTGTAATGTTGACTTTATACAGCAGTACTGATTTTACCAAAAGTATAGAAAGACAGATAAATATGTTTGTTTGTTTGTTTCTGTAATAATAAAGCTGTATAGTTCTAATATACCAGTATTCAGTTTGAATCCAGTGTTTCATTTTGGCAGCAGTTAGTGGTTAATAGACTCAAACTTAATAATACTCACATTATTCATATAATTGATTATCTTTCCTTTCTTTCAAAAATAGATGTTCAAGACAGAGTTCCTTCTTCATATTCACAGGGAGCAAGACCTAAAGAGAACTCATTGAGCACTTTACAGTTGAATACATCATCTACAAACCACCAAATGCCTTCTGAACATCATACCATACCATGTTCTAGGGACTCTGGTAGAAATTCTTTAAGATCCAATTTTTCTCCAAGGGAATTAGAATCTCCTCAAGGCAGTATACAGCCTGGATTTTCTTATATTTCAAATAGAGATGAAACCTCAGCTATAGGCAGTTCAGATAGGTTTGGTTCATCTCAAAGATCATTTCAAGAATCTTCTGACAATGAAGGTAGACGTACAACAAGAAGATTGCTGTCACGTATAGCTTCTAGTATGTCATCTACTTTTTTTTCACGAAGATCTAGTCAGGATTCCTTGAATACAAGATCACTGAGTTCTGAAAATTCTTATGTTTCTCCAAGAATCTTTACAGCTTCACAGTCTCGTAGTAATGCAGCATCTGCTTCTGATGCTCCTGATAATAGGGCATCTGAAGCTTCTCAGGGATTTCGATTTCTTCGGCGAAGATGGGGTTTGTCATCTCTTAGCCAAAATCATAGCTCTGAGCCAGATTCCCAGAATTTTAACCAAGAATCTGAAGGTAGAAATACAGGACCATGGTTATCTTCTTCACTTAGAAATAGATGCACACCCTTGTTCTCTAGAAGGAGACGAGAGGGACGAGATGAATCTTCAAGGATATCTACCTCTGATACACCATCTAGGTCTCATATTTTTAGAAGAGAATCAAATGAAATGGTTCACCTTGAAGCACAGAGTGATCCCCTTGGGGCTACTGCCAGCAGACCACAAGCATCTGCAGCACCGAGCAGTGCTGCTACAGGTGGCTCCACTTCAGATTCGGCTCACAGTGGACGAAATACAGGAATAACAGGGATACTTCCTGGTTCCTTATTCCGATTTGCAGTCCCCCCAGCACTTGGAAACAGTTTGACCGACAATGTCATGATCACTGTAGATATTATTCCTTCAGGTTGGAGTTCATCTGATGGAAAAAGTGATAAATCTAAAAGTACACCTTCAAGAGACCCAGAAAGACTGCAAAAAATAAAAGAGAGGTAAATTTGAATACCCTTCTTAAGGCTATAAAGCAAGAGAAGATTAGAGAAAGAGCTCTTTTTTTCTAAAATGGTTTCTCATAACAGTGATACCTGAAATTTCTTCCCTTAAAATTTACATTCAGTGAGATGTTTAGTGTCTTGCTCAGAGGTAAAATGGATGAAAATTAGTCATGGAGGTAGGCACTGGGGATTGCATCAGGGAATAGTCTAATGGTTAATTTTAACCAGCTTTGGATACAGACATATACAAAGACAACAATCTTAATCTCTTATCCTATTTCTTGGTAGATTAGTGCTAAATAGGATTGGTAAGGGGGCACAAGTGGTCATGGATTATCAAGACAATGTTTCAGCCTTTAATTAGGTCATTTATTTACCATTTATTTGTATTTCTCATTTCAAATCTTTTTCGGAATGAGGTAAAATCATTTGCACAGATTTTTAAATTTTGTTTTTAAAGTCCAAATGTATATTGAATATTCGTTATATGTTGTGACTGACAGAAATATCAGTTTAAATTCAGGGCTTAGAATCTTTTTATTCTTGTGAAATCTTTTGTAGAGTTGAGATTGCTTAAAAATCTCTAGTGAAAGATGAAAAAAATGAAAGATCAGAGATTTTAGCCTCAACTTGATTATCTTGTCATGTTAGTGTAATTACTGAGTTTTTCCAGGTATTAAAATTACTTTTATGATAAAATGGGATAGGATAGTACACATAAAGTATACTTGTAAGAAGAAAGACTTAAGTAAAACTAAGGTTGTTGGCTTTTTTTTTTTTTTCCTTGTTCATAAAGATCCTTTGTAATGGAATTGTTGTGAAGCATAGCTGTTAGTATCATTTTAGGTCTTTTTGTTCTTTGAGAAGAAATCCATTCATATCTTACTCAGGGGATAAAAGAAAGGAGCTTCACCTGTTTTCTGAGACATGGGCATTAACTAATATATTTCCACTTTTCCTTATGTAGGACAAATTGTTCCATGTGATTATTCTCTTCTTTTAAAATTTTCTGTTTTTCCTTTCTTAGAGGAAGATTTACTCTGCCCTGGTAGTGTTTAATGTTATTTCAGCAGCTCCCTCTGATTGCAAGCTGTCTACAGAATAATGTAGTAACTATTATATTTCTTGTGCACAAAGTTAGATTAATTTGAGTGCAGTAGTGGCAGTAATGTAAGTAGGGCAAAGCACTAAGTTAGTGATTTTCAAGGAGAAACCAGTTAAGCCAGCACCACCCTGTCTGGTAGGTAGTTTAAAAACCATCATTTGTTGACATTGAGTTTACATGTGTATGTGTTCCTCTATTACATATTTTGCTTATATGTGAGGATTATAAGACATTTAACAAATCAAACGAATAAGAGTATAAAAAACTTGAATCTCCCAAAATGAAAACTGTCAGCCCAAAGAAAGTTACATCTAAAGGTGAAAACATAAACATTAATAGTTGAAGTAGTATCTCTGGTTAAGCATAGGCATGAACGTGACCTCTTGGCACACATCTTTTGTTAAAACTCATTTGGAACCCATATAATCCAGGTTGTATTTCAGTAACAGTTTAGCATTCAGTATCATCAGTTTACTGAGTACCTTTTTCATGTCAGCAGTGGACTAAAGCAATAGAGATTTTAACAAAAAAATTATTTGTTTCGTAGTGATCATTCTGCATTTAAATTAAGCAGTACACGTTGGCCTGTGAAATAGAGGACATAGGTTAATGGAAATTGCTTCACTCTTTAAAAGCCTACCTTTGTAGAAATCAGGATGATTTAATAACATTACTGGGGATGGGGAAAATGAAGAATTTAAAAATCTTTTTTTTATTATGACAATATATAAAGCCTATCAGTTTAAACATGTGGTTCTGATAACATGTAAATGAAAAATCACTAGTCAGTATTTGTTTAATTCATCAAAGTTGTCTTAAAAGTTCTGGGCATTATTGGGGAACAAAACCGATGGGTATGTAAGTACATTATACTGCTGGAATTGAAGTACTCTATGATACTGCAGAAATTAAAATCTCTTAGGGGTATTTTTAAATTGATTGTGAAAAATACGGAACTTAAACTGTGCCACCAAAGACAAAATTACGTAAATCATTTGAAGATAAAGAATAGGATAGCTATTTCCATTATAGTTTTCATTTTTATTGAAATGCTTTTTCATAATAGTTGCTGTTTATTATTGTTGTTATTTACCCTTTTTTTACCCAGAGAGATAATAATATTGTTTGGGGTTATGTGTGACTGGAAATGACAAACCAGGATGAATTACTATAGCTCTGTTCAGGAAATGTACTTTCTTTTCCAGCCTTCTTTTAGAGGACTCTGAAGAAGAAGATGGTGACTTATGTAGAATTTGTCAGATGGCAGCTGCATCATCCTCTAACTTGCTAATAGAACCATGCAAGTGCACAGGAAGTTTGCAGTATGTCCACCAAGAGTGTATGAAAAAGTGGTTGCAGGCCAAAATTAACTCTGGTAAGATTTACCCTTTGTGTATTTTGTTTTCACAATTCTTCCAAGAGATACACGTATGTATGCATTTTAGTTAGTAAATCTGATTATAATCTTTGTCGAATTTATACTCTTACGAGTGTCAACCATTTTTGAAGGAAAAACATTAAAGAGCATTAGTCTTGCTTCATAAATTTAAAGTATAATAGTGTTACTTATATTTCATTTACCAATCTGTTTACTTTCGTACATCTGTAATACAAGTGTAATTTGTTATCGTTGGTGACCCTTATATCATGTAAGATCATTTTGAATCAAAGAAATATTTTTACTATTTACCAGCTTTGTGTCCTTGAGAAAGATTATTGTCTCTAATGCTGTTATGCAGTAATAAGATTACTGTAGGGATTCATTGTTTATTGAATGCCTGTTATGGAGCCAGACACCTTTCTAGATATGGGATATAGAGAACAAGACTGATAAGGCACTTACTCTTGTGGTGGTGGCATTAAGTGTTAAAGAAATGCCTTGTTGAGGTAAGGACATTTTAACTTAACGAAGAGGAACTGTCTAATCCAGAATGACAGCAAGAGCATTCCAACAGAAGGAACAACTAGTACAGAGACTTTAAGGTAGGAATGACTTAGGTGTGTTTGAGGAATTGAATGAAGAAGGCCCAGTAGGGCTGGAGTATAATTAGCGGGAAAGGAGGGTGGTGATATAGTGGAGATAAGAGAGATTAGCAGAGGCTGACTTATTTAGAACTTTTAAAACTAATGTCAGAAGCTTAGATTTTTATCTCAATATTATAATAGGAAGCCACTCAAGGTCAGAGGAATGAAATGATCTTATTTATGTTTTGTCTGCTCTGTGAAGAGTGGATTTTAGGAGGACAGGAGTAGAGAGAAGCAGGGAGGTCAACCAGGAATCTATTGTGGTGACCAACCAGGAATCTGTCTTATAAGAGGCGGTCATGGAGTGGTAGAAATGGATGGATTCTGGTATGTTTTGGAAGTAGATTCTTTTAAGACTTGCCAGTGGATTGGACATGTTAGAGTGAAGGGGAAAGAACAATTAGGGAAGCTCATGTTTTGCCTTGAACAATTAAGTAAATGGTAGGGCCATTTCCTGAAATAAAGAAGACTGAGAATGGAAAAAATTGGGGAGAGGAAACCAAGAGTTGTGTTTTAGAAATATCATATGTGAACTATTTATTAGATAACCATATGGAGATGTCTGCTGGGAAGTTAGCAAGACAAGCATGATGTTTCACGGGTTTTAGTGCTGAAAGTTATAATTTTGGAAATCATGAGCACACAAATAATATTTTAAGCTTTGGGATTAAATAAGATCACTAGAGCAAGAGCAGATATCAAAGAAATGAGCCCAGGACAGAGTCCTGAGGCATCCAGATGTTTAGTGTGAACAGAGAAGGAGATTTAAGGAGCAGCCTTAGTCTGGTAGGAAGAAAACTGAGAAAATGTGTTGTGTAAGGCAAAAGAAGAAACCTTTTAAGAGGATGTGATCAACCCTGTCAGGTACTGCAAAGAAGTCAGAACAAAAAGATAAGACAAAGAAATGACAGTTGGATTTGGTAGCATGGATGTCCTTGGTGACTTCAGTCTCTGTGGAGTGGTGGTGGTGGGTGGGTGGGGGAGTGTGTGTGCGCGCACGTGTGTGTGCATGTGCGCGCGCATCGGGAGTGGAGGTGAGTCATACACATAATTGAATTGGGCTGAGGAGAGAAAATGAGGTAATACTGGGGAAATAGCAACATAGCTCTCCCCTTACAATAAGCTTTACCATCAAGGAGTTTATAGATACAATAAGGTAGGAATTGGAGAATCTTACGGGGTCATGGTATGTCTTTTTATGTTTTGTTTTTTGTTTCGAGGTAGCAGATTTGGAGGCATGTTTTTATTTTAACAAGAGATACAATGGAGAGGGAAAAAAATTATGAAAAAGGAAGGGAGAGATGGGATCCAGAACACAAGTTGAGTAGTTAGCCTTTGATGGGAGAAAGGGTACTTCATTTCTAGAGGGGTAGTGTAGGTTTGGATTATTGATCAGTTTGTTGCTTTGGTCTTAAGGTGCTTGAATTCCTCTGTAATTGTTTCTGTTTTCTTAGTAAAGTCTTTAACTGATGAAGGGGTAGATTAAGATATTTTCACATGTGGGGATAACATTTTAAGATGTTTTCAGGTTTTTCAGGTAGTATTAGTGTTCATAAAAATCTGGCCATGAATATGATTTAAAAGTGGGATACCACGTACGTTATTTAAGAAGCAGTTTTCAGATGTTTGGATACAGATAAGGATTTGAGTTCAGTAGGATTGGGACCTTTGCCAGACAAACATGATAGAAGGGAGTTAAGGGTATTTGTAAGGATATTTGTAAGGGTGTAGCTGTGGTGAGCCTAGAAATTAGACAAAATCAGGAAGGGAGTAAGTACATCAGGAAGTGGATAGTGAAAAGTAGTAGGATCAGTGTTTTGAGTCTCATTGACACTGAAGAGAAATGCCAGAGTAGGTGAGGTAGAATGATGAGAAATTGAAGATACACAGGAGAGGATACTTAAATACAGATTTTAGGGGTAGTGCAGTAAGCTGCGATGACAGGGTCAATAATATGACCATAAAGTGGGTGGACTGAGATGGGGAAGGATATTGGAAGCAAGGATGCTGAGGAAGTCAGAATCAAATGTGAATGGTCTATGTGGATGTTGAAATAGCCAAGAAATAGGTTGGGTAAAGAAGATAGAGGGCCAGGTACTAAAGTCATTAATGAATAAGGAGGGACTTAGAGTTTCAAAACAGTAGTAGGTGTTGGGGTGGGGAGGGGGCCAGCTTTCCCTGTTCATTGGTCCTGAGGTATGAAGTGTTGTGGGGGAAATACGGCTGCGGAAGAGTATTATCAGTCTGAGACACTGTGGTTCAGGCTTGAAGTTGAAGAGAGAATTCATAAAGGAGACTGCTTAAGGGGAATTTACTTAAATCAGACAACATGAGTACCAGAGGACCTACTGAAATGTAACTAAGAGGGTAAGAAATGTGGGAAACTAGATCTGAGTAATAAAGGTACATAATTGGATGAAATTGAAGGTCTTATGGTGACAGCTTGGTAACATAGGCAGACTGGTTATGAGATATGATGGTATTTTCATTTTAATAATCTGTTGTAGGAGTTGGGTAACCTGTTCAAACTAGGGATTATGAGGCTAGTGGGAAACTTTTCCTGCAGAAAGGTAGCGAAGGCCTCCTTGGTTTGGGAGTTTATCTTTTCTTCTAAGCTAACATGATCCCAAACCTGTGGGATGGGCCGTCATAACCTGTGGCAGCCTCTTCTTGGCTGTATGGTGTTATGACAGCCTCATAGGCTTTATTAATCACTACCCTGAGGTGTTACTAAGATTTAATGAGTGCTCAGCATGGTTCTTGACACTTAGTAAGGACTCAGAAATGTTAGCTATTACCAAAATGAAAAACAGCTTGATTGACCTTCTGATGTATTTGCATTTGGATTGTTAGTATTGTATAGGTAGAAAAACATAATACTATGTATTGCTTAAGAACATTGGATTTTTGAAGTTAGTTGGAATAATGACTCCAACACAATATAGGATTTTGAGCAAGTCTCTTAACATTGGTTCTCGACCCTGGTTGCTGATCCAAATTACCCATTGGAGTTATAGAGAAAATGTAGATGCCTCCAATCTACTCCTGAACATTCTTAAGGTCTGGGGTTGGGCCTTAGTTCATCATGAGTACAACTGAGTAATACTTAGATCATAGGGTTGTTGTGAAGGTCACATGAGATGTTTGTGAACAGTTTCTCACAATATTGAGCTCACAGTAAGTATTCAATTAAATGGCTTTTATGAGGTAATATTAAGTACTTTTAAAGACACGGTCAAATGAATGTAAAGATCTGAAGAGCTGAGCCTTCCTGATAAGTTTTCATAAGGCTTTCTCATATTTACATAAAGACTTCATCTGGTATTAAGCAGCTGCTATATATGGATTGTTAAACTCTACAGAGTATAAAAAGATGAATAGAGTTAAGTCTAGTACAAGCTTAAGCAAATGCAGTCAGAGTCTACTAAATGAGATAGGTTGTAAAAGACAAGGCCCTGGATTAAAGACTGTAGGGATAAATGGGTTCCTCCCAGCTGCATGTGGCCTTTTTGAACAACTTCTAAGGTCACTTGTTTCATAGAAGAGAAAAATGAAGCCCTAAGATGTGAAAGAATTTATACTAAATGATCTCCAATGTTCTTATTTTATGATCATCACACTTTTCCTGCTTCTGAAGCAGAGAATAAATATCTGATAAGAGAAAGTCTTCTAAAGTTCCACATTCTTTATATTCTCCATCATGTCATGAACCTACCCTAAATTTAGTTCAGTGATATAATACTAATTTTTAAAATTAAGAAAATATTCCATATGTATTTTAATTTCAACATTTCCAGGTATGCTAGACTCCTAAAAAACTACTTAATCTTATTCATATACTTGAAATAAGTATCTTTTGTATTTTGACTCCAGCTCATTTTGAGACCACATAGACATGTTACTACCTCAAAATTGCACTCATTTTCCTTTCAGCTATTTTCTAGAAAATGCATGTACATTAACTATTACTGTCTTGGACTGTATGCTGATTTTTACTATTTAAAGAATTGTTAATGAAATAACACTATTTCTAAGAGTTTTATGAGCTCTTGAAGACAGGAGTGACTACTTCTTTCTAAATCTCCAGAACCGCTAATATTTTTGGCACATAACAAGCACTCAACAAATGTTAGCTGAATTTAATCTGAACCTTTATTTTGCTACTCAAATGACTTTCTCTGATTTTTTAGGACATCTTTTTTTCAATTTAAAAATCTTACCTAAAAATAAACACGGGGAGGGGGATGGCTATGTGTTTAATTAGACAAGACTACTACCTACTTAATTGGAGCCAAAAACTTATGGATAACCAAATGTTGAGTGCATATAGGACAGAAGGAGTTTTGCTTAACTGTGGTACATTACGTATTTTATATATAAAATTTACCCTGTTAACCATCATTAAGTGTGTAATTTGTGGTGTTAAGTACGTTCAGAATGTTGTGGGACCATCACCACTATTTCCCAAAATTTTAAATCATCCTAAACAGAAACTCGGTACCCATTAAGCACTAATTCCCTTCTCCCCCTCACCCCAGTACTTGGTAACTTCTGATCTACTTTCTGGGTAAATTTGTTTATTCTGCATATTTCATACAAGTGAAATCATACAGTATTTATCTTTCATGTATCTTATTTGTGCCTTATTTTACTTAGCAGTTGTAGCATATGTCAGGACTTCATTCCTTATCTTAACAAAAGTAGATTCCTTTTTTTTGCCTCCTATCTTGTAGGGAAGGCACATTGCTGAGACCACAGAGGTCTTACTATATGTTGTCACATGAAAGGTACTGGCCTTGGTATATGTAACAAGTTCTTCTAGATACCATGTTTTCTGGGCATCTTGCTGGAATACTTAAGGAGGAAGTAGGAAGTACAGATAACATTCCATTGTCAGCTTCTCATGATTAGAAATGTAAGAGTATCTGGGAGGGGGAAAAAAACAACAGATACCTAAATAATGGGTGGAGGCATAGATACCACAGAGTTGGACTTGACATGCACATTAGGTATTACTGATTGCAATTTTAGGAGCTTTTACTGATTTATGGCAGTAACACAGTCTCCCTACCATCTCTTCCTACCTCCCTCCCTTCCTTTCAGTTTTCTGTATTCTAAGCTTAAAACCTACAAGGAAAAATATTTTGTGGAGACATAGCAAAATTAAGCTTTATTTGTAATTTTTTTTACCAGGTTCTTCACTAGAGGCTGTAACCACCTGTGAACTCTGTAAAGAGAAGTTGCAGCTTAACCTGGAGGATTTTGATATTCATGAACTACATAGAGCTCATGCAAATGAACAAGTTAGTATATTTTGCCTAATTTGGTAAGTGTCTATTCTATGCTTAAAGGACAACTCTTGAAGAAAAGATTAAATCATGGTCAGAAAACCTGCATTGAGATAATAAGAGTAATAATAATGTTAACAATTTTACTGCATTAGGTAGAATTTTATAATTTTTCTTTATCTTCCTATAACTTTTTGTAACTGAAAGGCAAAAAAAAAGCAAGTCACAGGTTTTAAATTATTAAGGTAAAATTTATTATATGCTTCCTAAATAAACCTAAAAATAAAGGCTTAGGAAAGTGATCCCAAAGTAAGCATGCTAATCTTACCTCCCTAGAACTATCTCAGTTGTGAATGTCTCTGTGTCCTGGAACATGATTGAAACACTAAGCTCTGGGCCTGCGTCCTATTTCTTTCTTTTCTTTTTTTTCTTAATGTTAGGAATAGTTTTTCATGTGCCTGTCTACCCCCGTGTTCTTCTACTATTCTGATTCCCTTCACTCCCCATTCCTTCCTCCAACTTTATGTTGAACAACTTATCTTATGAAATCTTTTATTCTAAGTTCACATTGTTTATAAACCTCTTTCTTTTAGTATTTGTGTCATTACACAGCCATTTATATAATAAATAGTCTCTGATCTTAATAAAAGTTTTTTCAAATATTTCTTATTTTTCAGTTTTGGTATGTATTGATAACTCTTCTCACAATCATTGATTTGTTCTCTAATTTTGTTTCATGAAGCTTTAAACATTAAAAAAAATTTTGAGGTGCTTAAATTATATAATTAGAATGAAGAGTTAAATATTTCCCCCTTTTTTCCTTCCTAAAGGAAAATTTGGGGGTCGGGGAGGAGGTGTTACAGGAGATTACAAGAGTCAACTCAAGACCTGTACTATCCAAGTTTGCTTAATATTTGTTATAGAAAGAGATGTAATGGTGGGAGAATGCATGAGTGCTTGAAAAACATTTTTTAAATTAATGAGTTATGGACGCTTTCACTTTTTAAAATTGAGCTCAAGTTAACATAAAACATAAAAATCTTTTAATACTGAAGAATTCAATATATTTGCAGTGTTGTGCAACCCCCACCTTTGTCTAGTTCCAAAATACCTTCATCTCTCCAAAAGAAAATCCTGTACTCATTAACCTCTTCCTCCCTGTTCTCTTCCTCTGGCAGCCACCAATCTGCATTCTGTCTCTATGGAATTACCAGTTCTGGATATTTCATACAAATGGAATCAAGCAATATGATCTCTTTTGGACACCCTTTATTTTTTAAACGTGGAAATAATGAATACTCTTTGAAAATCTGATTAAAACCACACTCCTTGCAAAATATACAAAGACACAAAATTTATATATGATATAAGGGATGAGCCAGTTGTCCAAAGAGAATACCATTTTCAGCAGGGAATTGTCTTAAATCCCCAAGGAATCTCTCTAGACAGCTGCCGAGTATTGTTATTTTAAGGAATGGCAGAAAGAATATGTAAAGGTAGAACAATATAAAGAAACTTGTTTTTTTAATCTTCTCAAAATGAGAATAGGTTTCAAAGGGTTTTTTTTTCTACCATTCTTCCTTCTCTAGGTGCTCCAGGTCTCTTAAAGGTGGTTCTTTGGCTTTTCAATTCAACCGGGAATGTTTTTATGGTTTGCCAAGAATTTTAATGACCCACAGTCTTAAATGATGTATATAGGGTGTGAGGAAATACTAGCTGGAGTCGTCGTAAAAACAGTGACCGTCTAGATTAAGTTTCCTGGTCTTTAGATTTGTTTTGTGTGAATCTTGGATTCTGGGGGCCCAAGAACTACACTCATTTTAAATGATTAGTTTAATACAGTTTATTTCCCCATTAGCCAGTGGCTTCATTTTTTTTTAAGATGTGATACCCATTAAAATTTTTTCTAACTTTTTGGACATAAATTTCCCTTTAAGTTAAAAATAAGAAAAGTTATTCAGTGAAGATTTAAGGAAACTTTTAAAACATCAATTTCACATTTCTTGAATGCTCTATATAATTTGATAACCAGTTAGTTACTTGCTGAAGTTGGTACTAAGAATGTATAGTTCTTAACTTCAGATGAGTTATTTAAAAAATAGTACAACTTAAAGATAGTTCGCAGTATAACAATTACAGATTAGATTTTTTAATAACACTGTATTTATAATTATAACTTGTATACTTAGCTTCAAAACAGTGGAACAGTTTTGAATCAAAGGACTGTTTTTACCCACTATAAATTTCTATGTGAATGATAATGAGGAATAATTACTGTATTTTCTTTATTGATTCATTTTTATATTTACTGTTGCCCTAATTATATTACATAATAAACACTTGACCCATTTGAATAGGTTTTAATTACATAGTTTATTGACTTAGCTATAGATGAAATGGTAATTTTTAAGTAAACATTTAGAGTCATTTGTATTAATAATATCTATTAGGAGCCTTTTAGAGAACCAGAGCCTTTATTCTATCAAATGAGTTAAAAGTCCCACTTTTATATAATTCATTACATAAAAGACATAATGAAAATAAAAAGGTATTCACACATATATTTAGATTCATTATAGCATTAGTGCAATTATGGAGGGTGTTTTTTGTTTCTTTGTGTAATGGATGGTGCTATATCTCTTACTAGAAACTGGATATGAATACATTTCCTCTATCAGTACACTGTGAATATCAGTCCCTCATCTATTAATTTTTCACTCTTATTCTTTTTCTCATTTGCTTCCCTGTTAAAGGCTGAGTATGAGTTTATCAGCTCTGGTCTCTACCTAGTTGTGTTACTGCACTTGTGTGAACAAAGCTTTTCTGATATGATGGGAAATACGAATGAACCAAGCACACGTGTCCGAGTAAGTAATCTTGGAGCAGGGGAGAAGGGAGAATGTGATGGAACAAGTGTTTACTTTGGATAGGAAATTGTTTTATACATTCATATTCTATTTATTTTGGTTTGATTTGATGAGATCTTATATTAAAATCTTTCTTAAAAATAAAGATACTGTAGATTTAATAGAAATTAGTCTTCCTTACTTCTGTATCAAGCAGCCTAATTTTCTCATAAAGCTATTTTAGAAAAAGAAGTAATTTTCCAGCTCTTGAAGGTAATTGGAATATGTTTCAATGAAAAATAGGGACAGAATTGAAAGTACTAAGGAAAAATGCTCTTTTTAATTAAAAAACAAAAATCAGACTCAGTATTACAACCTGCAATTGGACTCCAAAAACTGAAAGAGTATGGGAAATTAACTTCAATTCATTTGTAACTCTCGTGTAAAGCATTACCAGTGTAGTAGTTTCTAAGCATTCCTATTGCAAACTTAAGATTTGGACTGTTTGGTCTTTACTCTGTGCATTGTTTGTTGCCTTAATTTAATACTTAGACTGGTTGTTTGTTAGGTATCTGTAATTAAATGGTACTATTTCAGTGTACTAGTGGTAATTTATGCTCTATTGCCTTGCCCATTTTATGGTGCAGGGGCTAGAGTCTACATGTCATTGCAGTAGCATTCTGAACACTTCATATCTTGAAATGTGCTCATAAACATGTCTTTTAAAACTATTTTTTATATAAATGTTCTCTTTGGTGATAAAAATTTAGTAGAGTTTATATGGTGAGGTATAGTGTTTGTTATATTTTGAAAATTATCAAATAACCAATTCAGTGTATATTGGTAAAAAATTTTCTGTAATGAAAACATTATTCCTGTGAGCCAGTTGACAGATTATTATCATTCAAAGAACTTTAAAGAGTGTTAAGCAAAAAGATCTCGATTTCTAAAAAGGCAACATAATCTCTTCAGAATGATTGAACCATATATAGTATATAATGAGATCTATTGAATTCATGCCTTTGTAAAATATATAGACAAGTTATTATTAAAGTGGAAGTCATTTTTATGACTTTTTAAAAAGTACAGAATTAAATGTAGTACTTCTGGAGCTAATGAATTTAGGGAGGAAAATACTGATTTTTTTTTATCTTAAATCACTCAGGTTGAATTCTTTTGGGTCCAAATTGCAAAGGTTTAATTTTTTTCTCCATAGTTTTTGGAGGTGTTATATTTATGCAAGAAGACAGTGATATCATTGGATAAGATTATTACATTTATCTGCTCCCAGTTTCTATATGATAAATATATGATTTCTACATGGCTAATAATGATTATGACATTAAAAAAATCGTATCCTTAAGCTTATAATTTTTGATATAGGGGGAGAAAGACCCCCCCCCTTTAAAGGCTTAAAATTATGTTTGACTTTTAAGTAAAAATGAATCTCTTATACTGATTCTCTCAATAGATCCATTTGCAACATTTAAACTACTGTATTTCTTTCTGCATTGTTTCTAGTTTATTAACCTTGCAAGAACTCTTCAGGCACATATGGAAGATCTCGAAAGTAGGTGGAATTTCCCCTTCCCAGACTTGTTGAATTTACTTTTGCAAATTAAACCCACAGAGCAAAACCTAAGTATATATATTCTTTCTACCAAATTAAAGCTTCATTTATAGGCTTAATAATACCAAAATAATTGATTTGGGAAAATGTGTTGGGCAACTGACATTAGTTATTTAAAAGCATATATTTTAAAATTGTATTAATTTTAATGTATAGAAGGATGTTATTTTAACCATCAATATTTTCCTTTTGTTTAAAATAAAAATATATATTTGATTACCATAATTTTAACACTTTTAATCAAGAAAAAGACATGTTTAACTACTAATCCAAACCCACTTCTTAATTGGTTAGATTTTTTTGTTTTGTATATGAAACTTTACTTGTTATTTAGCTTTGTTAGATCATGAAAGGTGTTCCCGGGTTTATATATAGTTCTAGGAAATAGGGGTGAACGAGTCCTAATTCTGAGTCCCTAACAGAAGCCATAGATTTTTTGTTTTGTTTTGTTTTTTTGTTTTTTGTTTTTTTTTTGCTCCTTGTTCAGGTCCTCATGGACCTTTAATAGGCAGCCAGCTCGGCCAGCAGCTCCAATCTCTTAAGATCACGTTCCAGCATTAGGACTTCTGCCTGGGCTCCTTTGTGAAGGCACTTAATGCCCAAATCTTTACAGGCATCTGCACAGCTTACCCTCTTCTCAAAGTCCTACAACCTCCAGGGTGCTTCATACCAGGTGGGCACAGATATTGGTGGCTCTGCAACAGTTCCTGGGAATCCAAGATTACCCTACCTATTGTGCTTTTTCACCCAAAGCAACTAGCTCCCCATGATCAGATTCCAGTACGCTCTTTGAAGTGTTTTTAAATATGTATTCTCCAATTGATTATCTCCAGTACTCAATCTTCAAAATACTTGGAGTGTTACCTGTAGTGTGTATCACATTTTTATTTTTAAAGAAAGCTCAGCATCATTTGAAGATTTGAGAAGGACTTAATCCTCGTAAGAACCTTTTAATTCCTTGAATATTCTTAGACATGGATTTTTGTCATTAAGTTTGTACTATTTTTAACTTTTAAAAGGATTCGAGGTACAACTAGATAATGCATTTTCACAATTTTAGTTTCTGTGGAAATAATATATAAAAGAGTCAAATGGTATAATAAAGCCTAAATGGGAATTCATTTAATGTAAATCTTTTTTTCCTTCAAACCTTCTTAGTTTAGATACCTCATGTTGGCTAATACAAGGATCTTTCTCTCTTTTGTAAACTATGATTTATACTTTGTCAGATGTGATGATAGTAATTTGTTGCAGTATACATTTTCCCCAGATTGCTTTTTTTTTTAAACTAATGTTCTGATTTAGAATTTAGTTTTCTAAACATATAGGAGTGTCTACTCCCAACATGTGAATGAAAGGAGAAAAATAGAGTTAAAATATATACCTAAACTCAACTGAGAGGGAAAGATGAGGGAGCCACAAATCTAACTCTTCAGTACCAGAGTATTAATATATTTTGAAAATAGTTTCTAACTGGATTTTCTTCTGTAGAGTTAATCCAGTAGAAAACATGAGAAATTCTCTGAAAAACTGTTCTATTTTTTAGTTTGACATTTCTCCGTGATACAGCATAAAACTTAAGCATAGAATTTACTCGTCATGAGCTAAGTATATGCTTGATATCATTTATTTAAAATGGATTTAAAATTTCTGCAAGATAACAGACTGAAGTATGGACACTGAAGTCTCATCTGTACTTGTTGCATAATTTTCTTGTTGATTCCTTTGCTGAGTGCTCTTAAATTGACCAGTATTAAATATAAGAGTATACATTTAACCTTTCTGCCCTTCATAGTAGGAGAAATACTGGTTAGATGTTTTTAAACTCTTTGAGTTGCTGATGACTCTAAATTGAGGTCAAAAATGTTGCAAGAGTGGTATGTTTCTAACAACGTGAAGGCACAGGAATAATCTCAACAAAAGGTTTTTACTAAACCAAGTTATTTTAATAGGCTATGTCTATACAAAGATTTTTTGACTAGAGCTTTTTCTTGGCATTGTATAGACATAGCTTTGATGTAAATTGCAAGAACACCCATAATCTATTATTCTGTGTACATTTTTAAAATTTTTCATTGGATACATCAAACATGCAGTGGTAATAAGCCAGATTCTACTCAAGTGTGTGAGAGCACGGGCTTTAAGTTCACTTTTTCTCATGTATATCACTAGCTACTATGAACACAGATTGATCTTAGAAACTTTTTAAATGTTCTTGAACCACATTTTAAAATATTTTCATTTTAATAAAAACTAACATAACAGAAAGGTGTGGATGGGCATCACCCACAGTCAAACCACCCTAACCCTGTCATGATAACCTGTCATTTTGACCAAACAGTATACTAAATTGGGATATTTATTTTACAAGTCATTGCTGTTCTGGCTTCATATTTACACTTCCATTCTTCATCCCCCTTAAAATCATTCTTGATCATCCTGTTTTCTTTCAACAGCTTCAGAGGATGATTCTGAAGAAGATGGAGACCATAACAGAACATTTGATATTGCCTAACTTCATATAAGACAAATGGATGATCTGTGAACAAGTGTTTATTAAAACTGGCAATTAAGTACGAATTTAATTTTGTGGGGGAATGCCTATTGAATACCTTTACTGTCTCTCTATAGATAATGAATATATATATATATACACACATGTATGCATGTATATATATAATGAATATATATGTACACACATGTATGCATGTATATATATATTCATTCTCAAGTATTGCTGAATTAAAATTCTGCTGGCTTATTAACATGGCCAGTGAGTCTAATGTTTATAAACAGGTAATCAAAAGTATTTTTCTTTTAGCTGAATTGAGAAAGTGTTATCCTTGTTTTAAATATCTAAGCAATGCTGCAGCCATTTTTTGTGTTCTGATTACCGTAGTCATATTTATGAAAAAAGGTTGACGTTTTAGTCTGTTAGTGAAAAAAGTGGGACAAAATATGCTTTCAGAATAAATTGCCAAATGGCACCTAATTATTTTTCTTTTTAAAATGCCTTAAGTTGCAGTCTCATTTTCATGATCATTTGCTTCCAGTGTTTAAAGAAAGTAAGAGCGGGGAAAAAGTTATAAAGAGCATTATATTAGGTTTCCAAATGTAACTTGAATTCTAAATTCACTTAGCAATAAAATCTAATTTAAAAAATACATAAATATAAAATGTACAAATGATGGGTAAATTTTTGTATTGATTTGCAAAATGCAGATTATATTTGATAGGCCATAGTATGTAGATGTTCCTTTTAGGAATATTACAGCTGTAAATTATATCAGGATTGCCAGTCAAATGCTATTTGATTTGAAAAAAAAATTATTGAAATCTCAAGCTAGTGAAATATTTTTAAATCCCACATTCAAAGTTTAAAACACTGGTTTTCAATGTTTTTTTTAGTGTTGTAACTTCTTTATAGATAAATATGATATAAATAACCTGTTTGGATCCTGGTCGTTTTTAACTGTTCCTTGGTAATTCTGAGCATTTATTTGATGACTTAATATTTTTCACTACCTTTAGAGAACAGATGAACATTTACCTGTTCACTTAAATAGATTTGCACTGTGGTTATGAGTTATGTACACTTCTATAACACTGTATATTTCCTCTTTCAACACCCTTAGGATACACTTAAAAACACCTTCAGTTGGTTTCAGGTTAAATAGTCTTATGTCATGGCAGCAGACTACTTTTTTGGAACCTAAATAGAAACTGTAATTTCTCAAATGTGAATCAACAGTTTGCCCACGTTAAGTCAGTTTGTTGGTCTTAATGTAAAACCTTGGCTTGAAATAAAGTGCATACTGATTGATTTACTTTATAGTTTGAAATGTTTCCTTTTAAATTGGTGCTCAAAGAAGTCTTCAGACCTTATAACCAAGAATTTTATTATTTCAAGTCTCATTTAATGTGAAATATAAATGTTTCTAAAACATTTGCTTAACGTTTACTTATTTTTCCATTGCCTTCCTTAAAGCAAAAATAGAAAATTTAAGGATGCCAGTATTAATATCTATTCCGAGTCTTTAAAGATGCTTTGAATTAGAAACATACTTTTAATAGAACTCAGTGTAAAAATGTAGTATCTTCTTTTTAACACACAAAGTGTTTTCTTTAAAATTTTTAAGTAAAAATTTAAATGGTAGAAAACATTCCATTGGTGTGCAGTTTATTTATAGGTTTGTTATATTAATTAAATGACAGGTACACAATGGCTTGAGCTTTATAGAATTCTTGTAATTCCTTAGTACCACTTAGTATTTCAGTATTCTGTTAGCTTCTCATACCCTGTAAATGTGGATTAGAGGGAGTAAGAAGTATCTTTCATTGGTTATCGCTTTTAAATTCTAAACAAGAGACCATACACTTACTCAAATTCCTAAGAATTTTAAGGATGCAAAATCCTGAGAAAAATGTAGTTAAAAGTAATGGTAGCTAAAAGCAATGATAGTAGTAATAGCTGCCAAACATACGCTGTCAAGATGTTTGAAGAAAAGAAGTTTATACATTCTGAATGTAAACAGACATGCTTGTGTTATTGTTAATATTAAAACTAAATACAGACTTGAATGAGCCAGTTATCTGTTGACCACCAAATAGATAAAAGCCTATTCCAAGTGTTCACATACATAAAGAAAATTAAGATTTAGTACTGTGTTCCCAGGGGCCTTTAAGGACTTGTTTGAAAATGAAATCAAACATGGAAAATCAAATCGGTTTAAAACAGCCATTTTGGGAGAGCTACTACCATTATGTAGAAGTGATGGAAATGAACTGAAGAAAACAGTTGTATGGAAGTGGAGACTCTAGAACAGCACTGTCCAATAAAACCTCCTATTGTAATAGAAATAGTATATAATTTGTATTGTCCAAAATAGTAGCTACTAACTGCATGTGATTTGAGCATTTGAAATAATGGCTTCAGTTGAGGAACTGAACTTCAATTTATTTAAATAGCCACATGTGGCTAGTGGCTACTGTATTGGATATTGTAGAGATCTGTGACAACTAGAGAAAGTTTTAAGGAACAAGTCAGTCTTAGTTCTTAAGAGGATTGGTAGAACTTGGGAAAGCAGGAAGGAATTCTGGTCTAATGTTCACGACTGGTAGCACTACTAACAGCCAATCAGTAGTAGACATCTCAGTCAATACACAAAATCTTAAAGCTTTTCAGAGTGTATTTATGTGATGACACCCAGTATAAAATTTGTTCTTTTACTGTCACATAACCACAGTCATCACTTTGTTATTCATGTCATGTCTCATTAACAAAACTGCCACTAATTGTGATGAGGGATATTTCTGATTCATAGTGACCAATAGAGATGGCGCAAGCTAGGACTTTGTTGCCATTGGTCAAGCTTGAAAGATGGCTCGCTCTCTCCATAAGAAAACTATTCCCATAAGATGACGTAGTGGGGTATGATTTACAGTAGAGGGATTACTTTCTTTGAGTTTTCAAGTTTCCAAGTATCGTAAATACAATTTCATGTGAAGTCTTATCTTTTCTAATACTGTTTTTAAGTTGTACAAGTTGCTAAAGAAATCCTCTCAGGATAAGGATTTTTTCCATTTTAAATTTTTTTTCATTTTCATTTTTTACCCCTAAAACAATTTTCACCATTGCCTGAAAATGTACATCTACTGAAAACTGAGCATCATCACTACAGTAGTATGTAGCTTTTCTTTGCAGCTTTTGCTTACAGTTTTCATATCACTGATAAAGTTCATTGAGGTTTGAGGAGCATGAGACGTCTTATATAGGAGCAGGTAAAGTGGCAGGAGAAAAATCCTTGAAGGGCACGGGCACTATGATCCAACAGTTACACCAACATTGTCAACTTCCTCCACACCTTCCTGGTATGGCTGTAATTTTTTTTGTTTCAGAAAATTTATTAAACTTTACTGAAATTCTGACTAGTTGTGATCAGTGCTAAATACTATTTGTGGTCCAAAACAGTGTTCTGAAAGTACTGAAACTGTATAGTTATGTGGCATATGGGATGTTAAAATCTGTACAGTTTCTACATATGAATCATGAAGGAAGACAGAAGTAGTATTGGATTTATCAGAGTAACTGTCATAAGTATTATCTAAATGTAGAGGATCTATTTTAAGATCAGGTTTTTTCTTCATATCTTATTGATAAACGGTCATAGAAATTGCTAAAGACCTAGCAGTGGTTGCTAAAATTATAGTGGTAAGTAGAATCTTTTTTTCATATTTTTTATTTTATTTTTAATCCAGCTATAAACTAAGGTCATTCAACTAAGTGGGAAGGAAGATAGAGGAGGCACAAGACACGCAGACTGGGTTTTTATTTTTACCTGCTTTACTACTTGGGCTTTAAGCTTTCCTTCATTCAAATGAAAGGTGTATTTGGGGAGGTGGTTAAAACCACTAAATTATATCTAATATTTTTCCTTTCTTCAAAACTTTGTTCTTATAATGATCCTAAAAATTTTGTCACAATCAGTGATTACATGACAATCAATGAATGTTACTAGAATAGGGTAATATAAAAACTAATTTTCATTGCCAGGTTTTATATTAAATCTTGCACAGGAATCACAGTTCAAGGTATTAGATGTCTTAATATGAGATTTCCAAAATTTTAGTCAAATTGAACAGCATATTCGTTTTCCTCTGCAACTACCAAAACACAGTCGTCATCATAAGGTGACTGGGGTGCAGTTGAAAAGACTGTGGTGAAACCAGAATCCAGATTTCTTCTGTACAGGAACCAAATGATTGCTCCCAAGACTGTCAAAATTACTGTGCTAGCAATCACCAAAGCTGATACTAAAATGTGGTTATCTGAAAAGGAAAAGACAAAAGAAAATAAGGGAAAACAGGTGGTGCTTTGCTTGGTTTTCTTTAAAAGTTGTTGAATTTTCTCCTATAGAAGAGTGAGAATTTAACTCTCCTGTATACGTGTGAACCCATAAACACTCCTTTCCTTCTCTTCTGTCATAGTTATAGCAAGCCCCAAACAGAAAGTATTCACGATACACATAGCTAACAAAGAACTCAACCAAATTTTTAAAAACCAAAAAATAACAATAAGAAAATCAAATACAAAATAAGGGCAAAAGAGTTGAAGAGACATTTCATAAAAGAAGATATCCAAGTGGCTTATAAATGTGTAAAGGTACTCAGCATCTGTTTTCATCAGGGAAATTAAAATTACAATAAGATCACTACACACCCATCTGATGGCTAAAATTAAATTGACGGGACCATCATGGGATGCGTGTACAGCAAAAGGAACTTGTGTACACTGTAAGAAGAAATGTAACATGGTTCAACCTCTGTGAAATACTTGATTATTTTTAGTAATACTAAACATTAGCTACCCTTTGGCTCTGTAATTTCACTTTTGGAATTTTCACTCAAGGAAAATGAGAATATAGGTCCAAAAAAGAAGTATGAAAATGTTCACGTGCAGCTCTTAGCACATTCATGCCAGACTAGTAATCAAATATCCATAAAAAGGAGAATGAAATTATGGTATGTTTATAAAAATACTATGCAGAAATAGAAAACTACAATACATGTATGTACAACATTGATGAATCTTTAAAGAAAAAATCTTGATTGAAAGAAGCCAGTAGAGTTACATTCCTGTGAAACTCAGGAACAACCAACTCCAACCTATGGTAATAGAAATCAACAGTGGCTACTGTGGGGTGGATGGTGGCAGGGTGGACATTTTTGGGGAAGGGGCATGAGGGAATTTTGTGGTGTGATAGAAATGTTCTGTATCTTGATCTGAGTGTTGGTTACATAGGTATATACATAGGCACCATCGAGGTGTACATTTAACATTGTGCATTTTTATCAAAAATAACAGGTTAAAAATACCATCCAATTTTCAAAAATGCAAAAGTTTCATAACAGGCATTTATACATTTCTTTGGGGAATGCAGAATGGTACAATTTCTCTGAAACTGTTAGTATTGATCAAAGTTACATATTCATGTTCAATCCAGCAGTTACATTTCAGGGAATCTAATCTACAGATAAACGTGTGTTTGTGCAAGGTGATTCATTCCTTATAGCATTGTTTATAATAGGAAATGTTTGGGAACAACCCAGCAGAATTCTAGAACTGGTAAATAACTATATGTCCATAAGGTGGAAGAGTAGGCAGTTGTAAAAAAGAATGAGGGTTTATATATAGTTAATGATATGGAGAGATATCTACTATATTAGTAAATAAAATAAGTCATGTATGTTAATTTGCTTATATTGGCAAAAAATGTTCATTTCACACATAACTTGCAGATGTATTTAAAATGCCAAGTCTTATTACTAAACTAAGATCTTTCCATGCTCTTACAAAAGTTGTTCTACTTTACATTGTTACATAATTAATTTTTAAAGGGGTCTTTAGTACTACTTTAATACGCTAGAATCAGTGTATTTTTACTTGTGGGAAATTTTTAACAGAAGACCATTACTTACCTGATAAATATTTCTTTTCATATGGGACTAAAATACAAAAGAAAATCAAAATTAAAATGTAAGTATGCTTTATTCCAGACTGTCTTTAAACACTTTCAAAGTAGTTAAAAATGAACCCTTTAATAGCATAATATTATATTTCTTTTGCTTAGTCATATGTCTGTATTACTTAAAAAAGATGTAGAGGTCTAAAAATGCATTAGTTCGGTTGGTGGAAAAACAATCAGGGAACTTAAGAAAAAGACAGTGTGATGCAGAGAGGGAAATAAGATTTTGGTTGGAAAGTCTATAGAAAACTGTACAATTAAAGTATACAGCTGTGACCTTACCTCATTGGTACAGATTTGCTCACTATTTCTGATGTTTTGAAGTTATAGTTTAATTAAAAATTTGGTTTCTGTAATGGTGCCCTGAGGCACAGTATATTAAAAGAACCAACTTAAAAAAAAAATCCAACAAATACCGGAAGATGAATGCTACTACCATAAAACTGACTGATTAATCTAAAACCCCGCTGAGACAGGTTAAAAAAAAAATCAACTGTAATTCCAGATGTAAAGAAAGGAAATAAAGATGTATAGTTGTATAGTTTTGGTTTACAGTTGAAACAGAAAAGATGTTAAGGATGCAATGTGGAGAATGACTGTTTCTGTCATGTGTCAAGCATCCCAAAATAATATTTTGAAATTTTAAGTGTCTTTAATGAGAAAACAGTTCTTTGTAAAACATAAAAGAACAAACTAATGTTTAACAGTAACATAAAAATACTGTGGGACAGGATAAATTTGTTCATTAGAAAGCACTGTGATGCATAAAAAGAAAATATATTTTAATCCAAAATAAATTATAAACTATTATTCAGATTTTCTTTGCCTAACCAGGATGTTCTTGTACTGAATCAGATTCTTTGTAAACATTAGAATTCTGGAATCAGCCATGAATATTCTTCACCACTTCCACTGATTAATCAAATCACATGCAAAGAGACTATGGTAATTCCTTTGAACAACAGGAAAATTTTTTGACTTATTGTAATCTCTAAGAATAAGCAGATAAAATAAAAGTATGCCTGGTTCACATGATCTAGTCCTACATCTGAGATGTAACAGAAGTACACATTTGACTTCCAAGAGTTTCTTGGGAGCAAACCAACCTAATAGGAAGTCTTACTTCCTCTATGTATTAAGGCATGCATCTCAATTATTTTAAAACCAGCCCTGCTTTCCCCACCCATTAGAACGGAAAAAAAGGCCTTCAGTTATACTTACTAGCTGCTTTACAAAGGGTTCCCTCCACAGAAGAAACTTCACAGTTTCCTTTTTTCCATTCACCTGTCTTGGTGTGCAAAAACGCACAGGTGTCAACTAGATCCTCGCCATCTTCTTGGTTTGACCACTTATTAAATGTCATATTTGATTTATCAAACCACTTGAAACTGGCATCTGTCAGTTAAGGAATATTTTCAACATCATGACAGCATAAAAAGATGTTAGAATGTCAAAGGGTTTAAAGGTGTCCTAAGGTATGTCTTGTCTGAACTTTTCTAGGGTTTAAATTAGAAGGTGGAATATATCCTGTGTACAGGCAAGTAAAAGATAATGGTTCAAGAGGTTCTGAAGAAGATCCCATTTTTGTAAAAAAAAAATATATATATATGTATAATTTTCATGGAGAAATAGCCAAGGCAATAGTTCAGATATTCATGGTAACCTTAGTAATTTCATTTCATTTTGAAAATAATTATATATATACTTTATATTTTCTACACTGACAAATACATTTACATAACATTATCTTGACAGCTGTCTGTCCTATTAATTGTTGACACGTACTGACTTTATTACCCTACCATATTACAAAGTACTGAGTCTAGAATTACATTTTAATTCAGACAAAAGAATCAACTAACTGATATATTGAGCTGCTCATGGAAAATCTGTGGTATATGGTGCATACTGAAAATATAATACCTGGAGACCACAAAGAAACATCACCTTGAACTAGAGAATTGAAGAACCTAAAAGAAAGTCATCAGTTTTACTAAGATTAAGGGGAAAAAAGTGGTATCTCACAGATAAATATCACTTACCATCTGTGTCAAAAAACATGCCTAATAGGATCTCATCTGGACCTTTCCATTGCTTTTTCAAAATATCCAGTATAAAAGCATTTTCTTCTTCATTATGTATGCTTATCATGTCTGCTCCTGAAATTATTTTAGGGAGAATAAATCAGCATGTTCCCAGAATCAGTGAAAATCACATCAGGTATATATAAATTATACATTATTATAATACATGTATTACACTTCTACATGTTAAAAAATTAGCTTGAGAATATCACGCACATTTCTAAAGAATATACTCGTAAGAAAAGTAACATGATAAACTGAACAGAGTCACACTTCCTATTTCATTCACCTAAGGTTGGTAATCTCATAAACAACATGGAAACAAAACATCATGGGGAGGCTTGCTCAGTAAAACACTATCCATCGCTCCACTTTTCACTACCCCTTCCTCCAGCAGTCATGACCCCTCCCGCCCTCAGTTGAAGTAGCTCTGACCACACCCAGGATAGCTGGAAAGTACTAATAAGGCAATTTGCCAGAACAGTACCAAGACCTAGTCAAGTTCAAGTAATAAGCAGTCTCTGACCTGCCTCATTTAACTGGCTGCCATGCGCCTGCTGCCTGAAGCGTATGCCTTCCCAAATTTCTCTCTGGTCATCCTTAGAAAACTCCTTGTTAGGGAAAGTGATAAAGGAGGTCCTTCTTCCTTGTTCTCATTGGATAGTTGATTTTTTCCTAGGATTTTCACCTGGTTCAAGAGTAAACAGCAGCAGCCACATATTTTATGTCTCATATTAACATTTTTTATCCTTTCAACTTATAAGCTACATAGCACCCTATAAAATGAGGTAACTTCACTTTCCCAGGATAATTTAATCTTGTTTCTTAACCCAACAAAGATCTTGCAAAGCAGAAAGTCATGCTACTCTCTTAATTCCACTTAGGAGAAAACGCTAATAGACTTAGTTTCTCTCATGATATTGTATGGTTTGTTTTTTTTTTTGTAAGTAAAAATGGATGACGACATCACAGCTTATAGCAACCAGAAACCTGGTGGGGAAGGTACATCCAACCTGTGGGAAAAATACATCCTTTCATCTGTATTCAGCTGGGGAAGAAAACAACATCAAAATGTTCTTAAGGAACATGACCCTCCACTCTCAGTAATTTTAGAAGTTAACAATTCTAATTGTCAAGAAGAAATTGTTGATCCTACACATTTTTAAAGTTATCTTGGGAGTTTGGGTACTGCAGTTAATTCAAATAATACATGGAGAGATGAGGAAGCCTTTCGTACTATTAAATTACATTATTCTAAAATTATCCTGACTTAACAGACTCCTGAAAACTTCAGAATGTTGTCTTAGATCATTGTCTCTCCAACTTTAGTCTGCATCAGAATCACCAGGGGTGCGGGGCTTGTTAAAATAGTGCTGGGCCCTGAGTGTCTGATTTAGTAGGAGTAAGATGGGGCCGAGAATTTAAATTCCTAACCAGTTCCCAGGTAATTTTTTGGTAATCAACATAAATGGAGAAGAGGAAGAGCTATCAGGTCATGATGTAAGAAAATTTTGTACTAGGTGATTATTTTACATCTAATTTTTTTTGTTTGTTAATGGAGGTACTGGGGATTGAACCCAGGCTTCATGCGTGCTAACTCTACCACTGAGCTATATCCCCCAACCCCACTTTTACATCTTTTAAAAGAGGCTTAAAAAAATAAATTTAACCACAGGGGAAAAGAAAACTATAGGGCCTAAAACCTCCCCCAAACATACCATATTGTTAAACAAGAGAATCACAAACTGGGCAGACTAAAGCTCTATTATAAAAATAACAGGCAAACACCTGAACAGAAGGGAAAAAAAATGGTCTCCAACTGTTAAAAAGGCACAGATACAGAGAACAAACTAGTGCTTACCAGTGGGTAGAGGGAAGGGGGAAGAGGTAATAGTAAGCACAGGGGATTAAAAGATGCAATTATGTAAAAAATAAGCTACAGGATATACTGTACAACACAGGGAATATACCCAGTATTTTATAGTAACCAAAAATGGAATGTAACCTTTAAAGATTGTGAATCAGTATACTGTACACTTGTAACTTACATAATATTGTACATCAAGAATACTTCAATTTAAAAAAGCAGTTCACCTCACAAAAGGAAAGGAAATACAACACAAGAAATACGTGAAAAGTGCAATATCACTGGTAAAGAAATGAAAAAGCAAGCAGAGTGTCAGACGTGCAGACAAACAGTGCTGGCTTTGGGTGTAGAAAAATAGGAACTTAAAAGTGGTTGGTTGGAGTTAAAATTAGTAAAACCTTTTTGGAGACAATTTGGCAAGATGTATGGAAAGCCCTAAAAAAATGTCCTTATTCTTTGATCCAGCAATCTGAACAATTTATGCTAAGGCAGTCATTGCCTCTGTGCTCAGAAGGGGACAATCATTAATGTTCATCACATTTATGCACTGGAAAATTGAAAATAATTTAATGACCAATATTGGAAGATTAAATCAATTATCACATATCTATTTAGAGGAATAGTGTACAGTAATCAGGAAATATGCATCCTATCTGTACTGCCACAGAAAAATATTTTTAAGGGAAAATGCAGATTACAGAACAGTGCCTAATATGAAACCTCTCTCTATATATTAAGCATTTATTAAAATATATTTGCCTGGTGGGGAGGAAGTCTAGAAGGACACTTGCCAAAATGATAACACTGATTACATTTCCTCAGCATGGTACAATTTAGGGTAATTTTGTTTTTAAAAAGTTGCATATGTTTTTCTACATAGTGATCATGCACTAACTGTGTAAGAAAGAACTTTTAAAAGAAAAGAAAAAATAAGACTGACTTTTAAAATACTTAATATTTTAATTAATCCAAAGTTAGGATTCAGCAAGGTTCTTTCAGTCATAGGTCCATTTTTAAAAATTCTATTATGATTTTCTTATCAGTGCCAGCTGCTATCACTTCCTGTCTGTTAAATGTCATATAGAACTTTCATCTGTTTTACTCTAGTACTTGTACTTATTTGTGAAATGTAACCAAAATGTCATTTTAGAAAAATCCTCAAGGGAAGTATTTAACCAGGTTATAGTTTAGGCTTAAGTGTTCAGAGATGAGGTTTTCATTCTATTCTGACCTTGTGGCAGCCAACAGAACTTTAATGATTTTTAACATTGCAATTTAAGTAACTACCGTGTAAACTTAAATTACTATGTAAGGCAAGTAAGACACACTTTCATTTTGTTTAACAAATGACAGCAGAAGTCCCTGAAGAACACATGTGCTCAAGCAAATTTTTTTACAATGAATTACCAGTGATGCTATGTGCTGAAATGTAATTCGGCCCTTTATATTCTTTTTATGCTTAGTGACCCAGCTCATACATAGATCACAAAAAGGAAAGGTTGAAAATATTTGTTTGTTCTCTTATAATCATACTATCAAAATCAAAGGTAAATGCTGCAAAATAAAAAATTTTCGCCTCTCACAATTATCTTCCTAAATAAACAATGACAGTACCCAAAATAAGGACATATAACATCAAGTAAATTGGCACAAAGCACTGGGAATATTTCTAAATCTAGCTCTCTGCAGCCCAAAGGATAAGTCACTTATTTTCTATACCCCTAATTATAGGTTTAAGATAGGACTTTGAATAGCTGTGAAGATTTTATAAATCCAAATGTAAATGTCCTAGTCTTCCTTATGCTCTTCCTTCTTCATAAATAGCAAACACTAAGTACATGTCCACTTACTGTTCCAAAACAAAACACTACCCTAGCCAAAAAATGTAACAGTATTATTAACTAATTTTAGCTAATTTTCTGATTCATCAATGAAATTTCTGGGTATTTCCAGAGTGGAAGCAAATGTAGAGGATTATCAAATAAACAGTGAGTTTATCAGAAATGTATGAGAAATTTTAAAAAGTCAAATCAGTAAGACAAGACAGAATTTATAAATTTTTAACTGGGGAAAAAGGACATATTTTTCTTTAGACACAAGGCAAACTTTATACGCAGATTTGTATACAGTAATTTAAAATTCCTAAATGGCTACCCTGCTTAAGGAGGACTTCAAAACAAGTAATCAAAAATCAGGCTTCAAAATTCTGGATTTTTTTCCATTTTGTTTTGCTTCATTTGCTACAGAAAAATAGCAAATACAACTAACTCCAGTTCAGTTGCAGAGGAAGTCAGTCAAAAGTATTAACTATGCCTCTGTACAGTATGTATTTCCTTAACTGCTTAAGTATTATAGCTGGACAGTAAAATTTGACCTTGTGGTTCATATAAGCTATTAAGAGTATAGGAACATGTCTTTTCTTGGCTCTGAGCATCAAATATAGTTTGTTTACTGAAATCTGTGTTTATGTCTAAGTGTACCTGATATAAATTTTTTTTAAAGAGAAAATAGTTGTGGGGGTAACACTTTAGAAAATCTTGTAAGACCAGCAAAATTCCCATTATTCAGTTTCCTTGAAGTGAAACCATACTGGCATGTTGGAAATGTCTTGTTTTCAAAGAGCCAATGTTCAACACCATTGAGCAAGTAAGGAAAACAATAAACGTATTGAGTATTACACGGCACTTCCTAGGATTTAAAAATCCTATCCTTACATTTATTCCTTCTATAATAGGTCAATATGATTTTAATTAAAGCATCCTAATGCAATTTGATATTCTTCCAAAATGTTATACTGGTGAGTTGTCAGAAATTGTTTTTTTTTAGGTAAAGGGCATTTTTACAATGCAGGTGTTTATATGTGTTTAAGACAAAATGAAATGAAATGATCAAGACTCTGTTTTTTTCTTTTGGATCTCACACAGTAATAAAAAGGACTTTTAAATAATCATGGACTCTTATCGTCAAAGACCTCAGTTGAAAAAGATGCTAGCTCACACCACAGTCTTCATTTGAGCTGACGAGTATCACAATTAGAGGCTTAACAACAAGGATGCACTTTGAGACAAACAGCCAAATACAGAAAGAGCACCCAAGCACACCTTTTTAAAAATCACATTTTTATTTAAAATATTTCACAATGTGAATATATAAATACACTTCCCAGGACTACTGAGCGTATCATGTAGCAAACAGCCTTTTCCTCATTTTTATGTAATGGTATGCTTCTTTACCACAGTCTCACATGATAGTCCCATGTAATCTGACTTCTGCCCACATTGTATGCCTGAGACAGTACTTTCAGGGCAGAAGAGCAGTGATTAAGAATGCTGCTCCTACAATCAGACAGGCCCTGGTGTGAATCCTGGCTCTGCCAATTATTTCCTGTGTGACCCTGAACAAGTAACTGAACTAGTTTTATTCTCTGGATAAAACGAGGCTAATAATAAACTATCTGATAGGTTTGCTATAATAATGCCAGTTAAAGTACACTGTGTGCTTAAGCACAGTGCCTGACACAGAGCACTCACATTAAATAGACACTGCTGTTGCTAAGGTTCTGTCACAAGCATTCGGGCAGTACTGTCCAACAACTCTCTTCTGCCTCAAAGGTTTACCCCAATTTCACTGCCTGTGGCTTGTGTATTATAAAATAAAAGTCCACTTATTATAAGGACCAAGGTAAATGTGAGATATGACAAAACAATGTTAAAAGAAATTAGTGAATACTCTTCAGTGATCTGTGAAAAAACAAAAAAGAATAAGCTCCTTACCATGGTCAGTACACTGATTTCTGACATCCTCTATGCTTTCTGCTTTGATGGCTTCTTGAAGAAAAATATAACAACTGTCTTGGAACTGAACCCAGGTGGAAGAAGGGCAGTCTGTGGGAAAAGAGAAATACCGTTAGACAACTTGAGAAGGAGAACTTCAAGAATTCCTAAAGGTAACGATGTTAGATACTAAATTTTCACAGAAAAAAAGAATGGCAATTTCCCCTGTTAATTTAGCCATTAGGCTCTTGGTCTTTGTTAAAATAAGAAATTGACTGGTGTGATAGGAATTTATTTTTCTCCACTGTACATGTGTGAAAAGAAATGTGCCACTGATTCTCTTCTGACCTGACAAAGTTACAAGTCTTTAAGTTGCTTAGGAATTCAGATTATGTAAGTGATAGCATATTACATATGATAATGACCAATGCAATAAACTACCAAGGAAGACAACCAATCAGAATTACAAGTTTTCTTTCAAGGTCATCTTTGCAGTATGTAGTAATAATTTCAAAAGTCTTAAGAGTCTTACAAGATCTTTTTGTTTGAAATATACTTTCAAGAACAGGGAAGAAAACAAGTTGCTAGATTATGGATATTCAGATAAGTTTTCCTTTGCACAGGAAAACAAGATTGATGTTCTTATGAATGCCCTTCATTTAACACCTCATCAAAGCAGATTCTTTGAATTAGTTTTATAAAACAGCTGCATCTCTTCCTCTATTGCTGTTGCATCTCCTTCATCTCTGCCTGGGTCTTTTTGTTGTTGTTCATAATGAAGGTGCACATTTTTCAGCTGTGGCTCTGGAATTGCATTAATTAGCATCAGAAACAAAAATAGGCCTGCAAGAGCTTGATTTCACTGACCAGAATGGAGAGAGGATACAAAGATTTTATTGAATTCCAGTGAAAAAAGGAGTTTAAGACATTAATCTTCCATATTTTCTTAGGTCTATAGGGAAAATCACCATGATTTTACCTAATTTTATTTTAAAGTTCTCTGTGAATTACAGTTTTAATATAAAAAAGTAGAAGAATGGCTTACTACAGAGATCAGAATGTAACAGTCACCTATGCTGGTCTAAATTCAACCACCTCAATGTTACTAAGCTCAGAATATGACAAAGACCATTAGCTGTCTCTGGTACTTGACCTCAGGTGCTTTTTTATAGTACAGAGTACAGGCCACTGATGGATTATTTCCCAGTCTTCCAGTAACGTCTGGATAATGAGGTGTAAGCAGAAGTGAAATATAACTGGATTGGCCTGGCAGCCAATTCTAATACCTTTCCTGATACAGCTGGCTCTCATTATCCAGGGATGTGGACCCCGTGGACACCAAGGATCAACTGCACTATGCCATTTTACATAAGGGACTTGAGCATCCGTGGATTTTGGTATCTGGGGGCGGGGGAGGTCCTGGGACTAGCCCCTTATGGATACAAAGAGACTACTGTATACTTTTTAAAAAGTAAACTTATTGAAATACAACATACAGTGTGCAAATCATATATATACAGCATGGTGAATGTGCATAGAATGAACATATCCATATAATCATCAGTGAGATGAAGAAACAGACCATTAACCAAACCCTTTCGGTCCACTCCCTTCCAAAGGTAATCACTCCTAACTTGTAACACCACAGATGAGTTCTGCCTGTTCTGGGACCCTAGATTAATGAACACATACAGTATGTACTCTTGCTATCTGGCTTCTTTTGATAAACATTTTATGAGATTCATTTATGTTTTAGTGTGTAGCTATAGTTTGTTGTTTCTCATTGCTATACAATATTATATGAATTTATTCATTCTTCTGTTAGTGAATGTGAGTAGTTTCTAGTTTGTGGCCGTAACAGGTAATGCTGCTACAAACATGCTGTGCACATATTTTGGTACACACATGCATGCTTTCTTGTGGGTATACTTCTAGAAGTGAATTGCTGGGTCATAGAGGGTACATGTGTCTAGCTTTGGCAGATACTGCCAAACACTTTTCCAAAGTGGTTATCCTTATCAGCAAGTAGGTTTTAAAAAAAATATCAGTTTGATAATCTTTGTCTTTTAACTGGAATATTTCCAGAAATATTTAATATAGTTATTTGATGTATCTGAAATTGTATCTGCCATTTTACTATTTGTTTTCTAATTGTCTTATTTTTTTCTCTCTTAAGATTGTTAAACATCTTTATATTCCATTTTTTTCGTTTATAAACTATATATTCTTTAATTTTATTTCTATAATAGGTACCCTGAAAATTACAACATGCAACCTTACTTCATAAGTACCTAGAATAAATGAGTGCTTTTACTACTTCCTAGACAATGCCAGGATCTTACACTATTTTAACTTCCCTTCCTCTGTGTTATTGTTGTTATTACTATTTTGCGTGGTCAGTGTCCTTTAGTTTGTTTCAGGGGGAAGGGAGGTAATTAGGTTTTGTTTTTTGTTTTTTTTAACGGAGGTACTGGGGATTGAACCCAGGATCTCACGCCTGGTAGGCAAGCGCTCTACCACTGAGCTATACCCTCCCCAGTTTTTTTTTTTCCCCATTCTTTTTTCATTGAAGTATAGTTTACAATATTCCTTTAGTTTTAAAAACACCTTTTCTGTTGCTCTTCTTTCCTTCTTAACTTCTCTATTACCAACTGGGATAATCTTCTGTTTGCCTGAATAAATTCCTTTGGTGTTTCTTTAAGTGCATGTCTAATGCAAACTCCCTTGATTCTTGATTTCCTGTGAATGTCTTGGTACTGCCTTCATGTTTGAAGGATACATTTGCAAAACCAAAATTCTAGAATGGCAGTTTATCTTTCACTTAAGATGTAGTTTTATTGTCTGGCTTCCTTCATTCCTACTGAGAAACTAGCTGTCAGCCTGATCGTTGTTCTTTCTGGCTGCTTTCAAGATTTTCTTTGGTTTTTAGCAGTTTGACAGTGGTTTGCCTAGTATTTTTTTTTTTAATCCTGCTAATAATTCAGTGCAATTGTTGAATCTGTAGCTTATTTTCATTGGTCACTTTTGGAACATTCTTGGTCATCATTACTTCAAATAATGCTTCTACTCCATTTTCTCTCTCTTCCCTTTCTGGGACTCAGATTATGTATATGTTAGATTTCTCACCATTTCTGATATGTTCCTTTCGCTCTTTTCTATATTTTTAATAATTTTGGCTCTCCATATTACAATCTTTTTCTTTCCAGTTTACTAATCTACTCCTTAGTTTTAAAAATCTGCTGTGAAACCCATCTATTGAGTTCATAATGTCAGTGATTTTTCAGTTACAGAATTTCAACTTGTTTGCATTTTTATAGATTCTGGGTCTCTGGTGAAATTCTCAGTCTTACTAATATTCCTGAACTTGCTACAGTTTTTTTAAAGTCCATTTCTGGAAACTCTTAATTTCTGAGTCACCTGTTGGTCTTTATTTGTTTTTCCTTCTTTGGCCTGTTTCTTGTTATGCCTGGTAGTTGTTCGTTGTTTGTTTTTAACATCAAATACCAGATACTGTGTAAGAAAATCTGCAGGGGCTCTATATGATGTTATTCTCTAGAAAGGATTCTGGAGGCAGCGAGAGTATTAAGGTAATCTTCAGTGCTCTAGCTGCCTGGAGTGTCAAGGACTGAGTCCGTCTGAGGGGGTATTACAGCCTTTGTGAGGCCCAACACCCGTGGATTCCAACTGAAAGCCTGCATGTTAACTAGAGTCACTCCTCTTTGGCAAGTTAAAAACTCAAATTTTTGTCTTCCTTAACATCATGAGAATGCCAAAGACTCTGCTCTGTTTTTAGCAGCTTAAAATTTGGGCAATTCTCCTAAGGGGAAAATTAACACACAAAATACTGGGTTCACCTCAACAAGCTGCCTTAGCAGCTCTCTGATGCCTGCAAATACCATTCCTTCCAAATTTTATCTAGATTTTCTAGTTGTTAGTGGGAACATGAGTGTCCCACTCTGTTGTAGCCAGAAGCAAAATTCTCTCTTTCACACTTTTGAACAACTTATCAGTAACTGCTGCTACCATCATCCATCCAACAGTCTTTTGCTGAGCAACTCCTACATGTCAGACACAGTGTAACCCTAGCTAAGGGGTAAGTATAAAGGGATTTAAGAGGAATGGGTCCTACACGTAAAGAGCTCAGTCTGATGGGCGAGTCAGACACACATACATATTAAAGGTACGAGAGGTTAAATGCTGTAAGACTATAGGAAAAAAGTAATACCTCGTAGAGCAAGGGAACATTTCAAAAAGGAGGCAATATTTGAGCTGCAGTTCACAGGATAAATGAGTTTGCCATGTGGAAAAGGAAAAAAGAAGAAATCCCCAGGCAGAGGGAGCACCATAAAAAGCACAATGGCAGGCACCTAGTGGAGTCAAATCTTGGTTGAATGAGTGAACTAGGCAGGCCCCTCCCTCCCCGCACTCCTCCACCATATGTTTCATGTATTCAGACATGATAGAGGAAAACCAAGCAGTCATTTCCAGAATGAAACTCAAACTGAAAGTCACAAGGGCAGATATTCTGAATTGCAAACTTTGACTTTCTTTTTCTTCTTCTTCTTTCTATTTTCTTATGGTTCCTTTTGTGTTTTTTTCTTTAGCCTTATGGAATTTTTAAAAAACTGAAATGGAAACAGACTCCATTACTATGTTTAATGACACCTGAAACACCTTTATAAATCATTGGAAGTTCTTGATCCATGGGTTGAGAAATGCTCTAGTCACAGCTACACAGAGGATTTTGTACTGATAGTAAATAATTCAAGAATATAAAAAAATAGTTTTGAAATATTGTTTAAATGGAATAAAGCACATGTATAAGTACACAAAAATGTAATCAACACCAAGTGAAGTGACATTTACAAATTATTTCTTCATATACTTGTAGTTCTTAGGCTTTAGAATTATAATGAACTGTGATCTCTAAACCATCTATTGATTAAAGTGTATGTTTTCCAGCAGCAGCTCATGTGTCAATTCTGCATGAAGTGTCCAACCCTCACCTTCTAGTAACCTCTGACCCCTGTGAACTTCCACAGGACTTTGCACTACACTACATGTGAGAGGCCTTTTCTGGTTATAAGGACTAGAGATTTGCTCAGATTACCCCAAATAATAGAGTTTTTTTTGTAAGGATACATGGGGTAATAAGAAATCTGATGATACTGTCTTAGCAGTCAACCAGGCCTCTTAGGGTTCTTATACCAGGTCCCCCACCTTGGATTGCTACCTAGCCTAGAGTAGTCAGCCTTTGATTTAGGAAATTATCCCTATTTTGATTAGTTGTGGCTTGGATGGTGAGCATAATATGACACAAACCACGGACCTATGCAGAAGAAGCACAGGTAGCCTCTTTTTTTTTGGAAAAGGGGCTGTGTTACCCTTTGAAGACCAGTACACATTCTTGTGCACTGATCAAATTCTGCTCTGTATGGTAGTTATCTGATACTTATCCTGCCTTCCCAATTGGACTATTAACAGCATGACATATAGATCATGTCTCAAATCTAACTGTACCACCAATAATATCTATCATAGAGTCTTGTACACCACACAAAACAGCCTGCAGAGAAGTGGGACAGTGCAGGGTTCTGATGAAGCACGTTAGGCTGTGGACAAAAGTCTGGCTCTAACGACATGATCCTGGCTGTGTTACTTAACTTTAACTGTGCTCCAGTTTCCCTATTTGTAAAATAACAGTACCTATCTCAGGGGGTGGTTGTGAGAAAGTTGTTTTAGGTGCTAGGGATTCTGCAGTGAACAAAAAGGAAGAAAAATCCTGCCATCCTAGAGTTTATATTCTAGGTGAGGCAGATACATAAAGGCAAGATAAATAAGTAAAATAATGTTATGTGGTGTTTTATTTAGATAGTATACAACAATCTATTGCTATATATAGCAAATAAGCATCTTAAGAAAACAAAAACCTTTATTATCTCACACAATTTCTCTGGATCAGGAATTCAGAAACAGCTGCTTAGCTAGAGGATTTTGGCTTGGTGCCTCTCATAAAGTTTCAGTCAAGATCCTGGCCAGGGCTGCCTCTATCTGAAAAGTGAACTGGGGCTGGAAGACCCACCTCCAAGAAGGCTCCCTCACGTGGACAGTGAGTTGGTGCTGGCTGTGGGCACAGGGCCTCAGTTCCACAGGTGAAGGTCCTATGACTTGGCAGGTGGCTTCCCTCAGAGCAAGTCATTCAAATGAGAACAAGGCAGAAGTGCAGTGTCTTTTACAATCCAGCCTTGGGAGTCACACTCCATTAGTTCAACGATATCCCATTGGCTACACAGGTCAGGCCTATTCAGTGCAGGGGTGAGCTACACAATGGTAGGAATACCAGGAGGCAAGAATCAGCAGGGCCATCCTGGAGGTTAGCAACCACAGATAAGTTAAAACAGAGACGTAAGATCCTGAGTGGAGGGTAGGGACTGGGGTTGAAATTTTAGAAGTGTGTCTAAGAAAGAGTTCATTATAAAGGTGACATATACAAAAGAGATCTGAATGAGCTGAAGGAAAGAAGCCGAGTGGTTACCTAGATCACACAGGCCCCTGGGATGGGAGTGAGTGTGATGATAGTGAGAACTGTAGCAGCTCAAAGACCACTGTAATTAAATAAGCAAAATGTGATAAGAAAAAAAAACCCAAAAGTAAAAACAAAAAGCTATAGGCAGAAAAAGTAGAAAACAAATTGTTAACTTGACATCCTCAAAGCTTTCAGCTGCCTTCTCCTTAGGCTCATTTCGGCATTAGCAGTAAATGCAGTGAATTCAGCACTGAGCCCTTCTTCGCATGTTCCCGGTCAGAGTGTGAGCCCCAGAAACAAGCTTCAAGTACTACTCACGAGATCTGTTCCCACTTCGAGAAGAGTGTCCAGATAGAGGCCGATACCTCCTGTGAGGGAAGTTACTGAGGCTCGTGCACTTCACGAGCAGAAGGGCTAAACCACGGCTTTTTCAGTGCCAAGTATCTTCACTGTGATCCTGTTACAGTGAAAAACCTGGCTCCCCAAAATACTTCCATAGGTTTTTCAATTACAGGTTCTGTTAAATTTTCTAGAAAATATATTTTAATAAATATACTTTGCTCAAAAAAAAAAAAAAGTCCTGCCCACAATGCTCTCTCCAAAGTACTTTTCTGTTACTCTCAGGTCTTCACAGCTGTCCTGAAAGATAGGTTGTTATTAATAATGCACCTAAATGACTCTCCATGGATTTATAATTTTATCATTCTATTTATTTAATATGTACAGAAATTTAGGAGCCTGATGCAAACTTTAAAACCTAGTACTTAACTCCAAAAGTTTCCACATAGATCCTCTGCCTACAATGATCATATGCCAAACGAATAAAATGGCATATCCACAGGAATATTTTGCATTACCAGTCCGTTCTAATAGAACTCTGTTCCCTTGTCATTTATTTTTTAAAGCGCCAGGCACAGCATAAGAGGACATACTTGGGACATACTTGTTCTGAATGTTAATGAAGGAAAGGCAAGATTCTGTTTTTTTTGCCTTGTCAATAATAAGACC